TTACCAGGAGTAAAATAACACGTGTGAAAGTACAATATACAATACACTGTAATTGTTTCCTAAACAAGTAATAAAAAGAAGCACAGAAATAGAAATAGAGAGATAGAGTAGTCAGTACTTACAGAAAGTTTTATGGAAGTAAAATAACCTATAAATGTATAATATAAAATACAGTGTAATTGTTTGTACTATTTCACTCTGGATGTTATTATTATCATTTGAACCTAAACAAGGAATAAATACAAGCTGTCACGATAAATCTCAGCGATAACACGAGAAGCAGAACAGACGGGCACAGACAGCTACGCACTGCACGCCTGATCCAGTAACGATGCATAGCAGATAATTAAACCGGAAGGGAATCGACATACGATAATTAATACGATATATACGATACATCATATATATTTTTACCCCAGATGCAGTAAGAAGGCAAGGAACATGAACCGGGAGGGTATAATCCACATAAGTACTGCACGCCCCGATGCAGTAATGATACGTAGCAGTCAAGGCCGTACGCAGGAAATTTTCTGTAGAGGGGCAAATACGCAGGAAATTTTCTGTAGGGGGGGCAAAGGTACTCCCCACACCCTCTATTGCCCAATTTGTCCCATTAAAAGGCATACTCTGAAAATCTCTAGGGGGGGCAACTGCCCCTGCTGCCCCCCTGCTGCGTACGGCCCTGGTAGCAGTCTACCAGATAAACAATATATATAGCAGGGAGGGAAACGAAAATACGTATGAGCAATGACTATATATCATAATTTTATATGATAAATATAAAATAATGTAAATTGTAAAAAAAAAATAAAAATAAAAAATACATGATCGGAATAATCGAAAACACGTACGAGCACCAGAGCAGGTTGACTGTCTGCCTCCAGGGGGAGCTGTGCGTCGCCGCCCCGAGACACGCGCGTCTGAAAGCTTCCCCGGCGACGAACATGGCGGTGGAGTAGAGCAGCAGCAGACGCACGTTGACGACGCCGAGCGTGTCGCGCGAGATGTAGCGAACGATGAACGCGTTCAGCGCAAACGTCAGCAGACGAAACATCAGCTGAAATCAGACGAAACATCAGCTGAAAGCATCAAATAGCGGACGTTACTCATCGCAAACCTTTGTAGAACATACCAGGCTTTGCTTTTTCACAGGGGCTGAGGTCACTGGTACTGGTAGGGAGAGGATAGAGAATCGAGAGGTACGACTGAACAGGTTGAAAAGCGATAGAGCGGGTAGAAGTTGATGAGAGAAAGGTAGTATGGCTCATAGGGTCTATGTCCCCCAGGGTACCGCCGGAAAGTACCCTGGGTACAGTCCGGTATACCGGAACGTACTCTGGTAACTATTTGATATGGTTAGGGTTAGAGTTAGTGTTAGGGTCAGGGTTAGGGTTAGTGTTAGGGTCAGGGTTAGGGTTAGGGAGTAGGCGTAGGCGACTCCCTAGACTCGTTAGTGGAGTAGGCGAGGTACGGTCCGGCATATTAGATACCGGGTAGTACCAGGGTACGTTCCGGTAGTACCCTGGGGGACATAGACTCTCTCAGCAGTAGTATGCTGTAATGTGGTGCACAGGATTACATCTTTTAGTACATTACAATATAACGCTGCCAGCGGCAGTTAATGTAAGCGGGCTATAGTACTAGAGCTAACATCAGTATAGCTCTAGAACTATAGCTTATGCTATAGCCCTTCGCTCTGCGCATTGCAAAGGACTATAGTTCTAGTCTACTTCTAGAGCTAACATCAGTACAGCTAGCCCGACCAGGCTGTGTGACTAACGTCTGTGACAGCGAAAAAAATACACGGGAGCGGCGAGCGATTTCGCTCCCGTCAGCTTTCAAAGCGCTCTGGTAACAACAATTACGAGAGCGAAAATTTTGGAAGATACGAGAAAAAATCGCTCCCGTGCAGCCGGCAGCGTTAGAAATTAGTTCCGACCCCTGAGGCCCGAGCCCACCAAGTTTTTGCTCGGGCATTAACAATAAGTTTTTATATCGCAGGGGTTAATTATCGTGGGGAGTGAGGGCACGACCAGTGACACCTGACACGCACGTAACCAAAGCTGTTAAAGGGACAGTAGCCTCTAGGATTTTACTGCATACAACTGTACTTACTGTATAACAAATC